GTTGAAACTTCTAAGTCTCCCTAGGTTATCAGTGTGTTGCTGATATAGCCTATTTTGTGGTTTGGATGGCCAATTAGGGATAGCCTAACTGGGTTCATCTTCAAATCATGCATCATTGCGTTTGTTTTCTTTTTTGTCTTGGTGTTGGTAGTTTGTGATTTCTGTTAATGGAAATCGAAGAGGGAGCTCTTTAAAAAAAAGGTAAGTATTTACTATTTAGACTGGACGCAGCATGCCTCTCCAATCGTTAGAAGGATAAGTGCTGGCCCATATTTTAAAAAAGAGAGTGTTTTTTACAAAAATAAACCACTCCAAGTTGTTGGTATTTTTGCTATAAAACACTAAGTTTCAGGAAAGTTTTGGATATGAAACTTAGTATCAGATGAAACTCATGTACGGTATATGGTGTTTTAGATGAGGTAACCTTTCAGATCGAATTTCTAATTGAGATGGTCCGTGAGTAGATATTGATAAAAGCGTAATATTATTTTAATAAAAACATAATATTATTTTCTCTAAAAATAAGAGCAACAAAAACCCCAAAGAGATAGAGTGGTAATTTATTTGGTTAAAATATAATGTTATGGACCTAATTTGTGTTGAATCTTGCCCGTTACCTTTTCATCCAGCGAACCAAAAAAATAACCGATGCCTCATGTGCATATATTTGGCCAATGCACCAGATAGGTTCTTGTCACGACTTGTATCCAAGCCCGACCATATCAACCATAGTCATACTCGACATATTAAATAGATGATGGTAAGCTAATAACACAACAATGATGCAAATCCGTGCATATTCTACATCACAATGAATCATTCTCTCTTGGTAACTCTAAATAGTGGTATTTCAGGGAAGTATGTAACTAAAACAGTTTTCACATTTCAGTGCCACAAGTGAATATGTACACCGGCTGCACCCATGTCTCTCCGATTATCGCATGGAGAAGTTATGGACATGATCTTCTTTTTTGAAATAGAGGAAAAAGGTTTGCCTCGTATATTATTTAAGAGAGAAGATAAGTTTTTGTTATAGACACACCCCTTAATACAACAAAGGAATTACTCTCCTAACATGATTATCCCTTGTTTCTTATCCCCCGTGACCACCCAAAGCAAGGCCTCCTTCATAGACATATTAAATCATTATAAGATTTTGCTATGAAACTAGGTTACCATGAGACCAACAGACTCGCCATTCTGGAAAGGTCTTATGCGAGTAAAGGACCTGTTCTTTCGGAGGGTCAAATTCCTGGTTGGCAATGGGCTGTCAACAAGGTTTTGGGAGGATACGTGGTTAGGACAGACGCCCCTGGCCGTACAATATCCTACCCTGTATAACATTGTGCAACGGAAGGAGGATTACGTAGGCATAGTTTTACATACGATCCCCTTAAATATCCAATTCAGACGAGCACTAGTTGGTGAGCGATGGAATGCATGGATACACCTGGTTCGGAGATTGATAGATGTTCAACTCTCTGATCAACCAGACTCCATGCAATAGAAGCTAGCTAAGAATAGGATTTTTACGGTAAAAACTTTCTATATGGATTTGATTAATTCTGGCCCAGTCTCGAGATCGTTGCATATTTGGAAGATTAAGGTTCCTTTGCGCATTAAAATCTTTATGTGGTTTGTCCACAAACAAGTCATTCTTACAAAGGACAACTTAATCAAGAGGCGATGGGTAGGTAGTCCACGATGTTGCTTTTGTGATCATGATGAAACAATACAACATCTATTTCTTGAATGCCCATTGGCCAAATTGCTTTGGAGAACGATTCATATAGCCTTCAACATTACTCCTCCAGTTGACATTGCATCGTTGTTTGGAATGTGGTTAACTGGGGTCGAACATACTATGGCGGCTCGTATTCGGATTGGAATTTGTGCGCTATTGTGGGCTATATGGAATTGCAGGAATGATTTGATATTTAACAGACAACACAATTTAACTTTCATGCAGGTCATCTACAGAGCTACTGCTTGGATCCGTACGTGGTCCTTAGTCACTCCTATGGAATCCAGGGAGCCTTTGGTTACTGGGTGCAACCAGTGGGAGATGGTCGCGCGGGCTATATTCAACCAGTTCGGATGGCGGTCGCATAACATGATAGGAGTCTAGGGAGCTTATCCTTCTTATTGCCATTCCGGTTGAGATTGTTAGCATGAACTTTGCTTTACTTTTATTTTTCGCTCCGCTTGCGAGCTGTAAGACGACTTTGTGATACTTGCGACTTCTTAATAATATGGTTGCATGCATCGTTATGATGCAGAGGCCGGGGGTACGCCTCCATTTCCAAAAAAAAAATGAAACTAAGTTTCAGATACTAAACTAAAATTCAGTATATTTTTTGGGTATGAAACTATGTTTCAAGAGATTTTTATGGAGTCGAACTTGGTTTGTTCATTATTCACACCTTCAATTGTGAGGAAAAAAAGATGTGTACCAACTTGCCCAAGTAGATGCATGAGACGAAGAGTAGAGATAGGACATGTAAGCTGGTTTTTTGGTTTCTTATCTTTGTGAATTCTTATAATATATCTGAGTCCTTTTCGTGAAAAACAACAAATAAACTGTAGTTTGGTCTTGTTCATGTTAATTCGGGAAGTGACTCAACTTGAAACTAATTATCTGTCGAGTGTGACCAGCCATAGCCGTAGCCCATTGACACCGAGGTCGATATGTAGCATCATGATGTCTAGCTAGTTAACTATGGGTAGGATACCATGTTAGGGTATCTACAAAAAGTGCATGTTCAGGTAATTATCTATTCTGCTATATAGGATGATTTTAGATAACCTTTGCAATGGTACCCTATTAGTGTTACATAGAATCTTTGTTGATACTCAGGCTAGCCAATATTGTTGTTTTTGTGTAGGATCACATCTAAAACTAGTTCCGTCATTTTAGGACAAAACTATTTTGTGTGACCAGTTTACTATCGACTCTCGAAGAGAATGATATACCGAAGGACTAGTTTCACTCTACCTTTGTGCATGCCTTAGCTTTCGAGGTGGCTTAAGAACATGTCTGCGAACCCAGTGAATATGTGCACCGGATATGACCATGCTTCTCCAACTATTGGATGGAGAAGTGATGGCCATGATCTGTTGACTCTTGCCATATTAAACACATTGTATTTCCATAAAATCAACCCTTAGTATTTTGCTATGAAACTAAGTTTTGATACAAAACTAAGTTTCATGAAGTCTTGGATATGGAAGTAAGTTTCATCAACTTTTTAGATATGAATGATAAAACTTGTGTATGGATTATCAAGTTTTAGATGAGATAACTTGTTGAGTTGATTTTCTGAGTTGAGATGGATTGCGGGTTCATATTGGTAAAAAATATAAAGTTATATTCCCTAAAAATAGCAGCAACCAAAACCCCAAAAGAGTCGGGGTGCGCAATGATTCTGATACAATACAAGGTTATTTATGTAATGCTCGTCGCGTTTTCATCCAATGACCTACTAAAAACCATAGGCACGGTGTTCGGTTAGAGGAACTGCAGGCGGAGGGGATGTGACCAGTGGCAGCAGGTGGTGTTCGCGACGGAGGAGCGCCGTGGCATCTGGCACGTCGACATCGGCAGGTCTCAGCGGCATGGAGCATCGGGGTCTCGCCGGTGGGCGTGTGATGATGGTCGAGCGCGGGATGGTGGCGTTGTCTGGCATCATGGTGGCATCAACGGCAGCTAGACTGAGCAAGGTAGATGCAGCAGTACAACACTGAAGATGGATTAGTGGCAGGTGGCTGCGGCGGCCTCATACCCGGCAGGCGTCCTGGTTGAGGAGTGCGTCGGACTGGTGGGTGCCCCATACCCGGCAGGCGTCCTGGTTGGGACCTCAGGTCTTAGATGTTAGGTTTGGCTGCGAGGTCTGTTTGGTATTAGACCCAGACTATCAGTATCCCTCAATCAACTGGATAGGAGTAGCGACACATGTTGCCTAGACGGTGGCTTTAGTCTTACTGTTGTATGATTTTGTAAGGTCTTGTGTGAATAATTAATAAAATGGCTGCATGTATCGTCCAAATGTAGAGGCCGGATCTCCTCCTTTTCTAAGAAAAAAATAGACGCGGTGCACTGGATACATTTTCCTGATGACTTTTATCCAAGCCCAATCAAACATAGTCGTACTCGGCGTCTTAAAGCGGTGATTGGTAAGCTAGTGACACGACAATGATGTAAATCCGTGCACATTCTACATCAAGACCATGAATCATTCTTTCTCGGCAACTCCAATAAGTGGTCTTTCAAGAAATGTGTAACCGAATGTCATGTGTAAATTTCAACATGTTCCGTTTCAAAAAAAATAAATTTCAACATGTGATGTCATCTGCATCATCCTACCATCGATCTTGTCGTGTCGGACCAGTGCCCTGAAATTTGATTCTGAGAATATTTTTACCGTATGTAAATTGCCGAAATTGCCGAAACGGTTTCTAGTTCCGTGGATCAAACCAAAATTTCTGCTGACTAAATCGAATCGCGTGCCGACAAAAGTTTAACGAAGGTTTGTATGAATCTTGTCTGAAATGTAGCCGAGCTTATGTTTCGCCCGAACATGTTGGCACCCACGCACATGTCTGATGTGCGTACCACTTCTCCCAAGACTGTTCACGCCCCGGTCGAGACAAAGAGGAGTCCCGGCAAGTTGTACCACGCCACAGACGTACGCCGGGGCCACGCCGCCTTTTTACGTTGGCCGTTCGCTGTCACGGGGCGATCGGGCAGATCACCAGCCGTTAAAATTTTCGTCAGGGGAGCGATCGAGCCGGCCCGCCGTTATATACCACGCGCCCCAGAGCCTTCCCTTGAGCACGCAGCACACTGCACCCCGCAGCCCGCACCACACCAACCAGCTGCACTGCTCTCCTAGCCAGTGCCGGCCACTCGAGCGAGCAAGCGCAGCCGCTGCTTCTGTCGGCGGCAGGTAGGTGGCGCCGTGCGTGCGTGAGTGCGTGCGTGAGCTGGTCGGGCGGCGAGGATGATGAGGACGGTGGCGGCGGTGGCGGTGGCCGTGCTGCTGGCGGCCGCGGTGGCGGCGGAGGCGAGCGAGCTCAAGGTGGGGTACTACGACAAGAGCTGCCGGGGCGTGGAGAACGTGGTGAAGTGGCACGTCGCCAGGGCCATCAAGGCCAACCGCAAGAGCGGCGCAGCCCTCGTCCGCCTCATCTTCCACGACTGCTTCGTCAGGGTACGTACGCCGCCGCCGCCGTCTCTCTCTCTCTCTCTCTCTCTGTCACTCCGGCCGGCCACTGCTCTGCTCTTTAACCAGTAACCGCACGCCCGGCCACTGCTGTCGAGCTAGCAGAAGTACCTCTGCAACGTCCTCCAGCACAGTAGCTCTGGTTAGCTAGCTAGTAAGAGCAGTTTGTCCATGTCTGCTGCACATTTTCTACCTTACATGATGCATGCACAGTGACCTAGCAGCACGTTTCGTACACGATGCACACACCAATGTTTAGTTTCCTCGTCGAGACCGTGACGCTAGACCCCACTTGGCACCGAGCGTGCTAGATACCAACTTTTATTTTCTGTTTGTTAACGAGATACCATAGTTTTAGCCGATGCCGTTTTGCATGCATTGAGCTAACCAGCTCACCAACAAGTTTAATTAGTCATAGATCACCCCCAGAGGGACGACAGCTCAAATTATCGATGAAAATGCTTGCGATGTACTCCCTCCGTCCACAAATGTAAGACCATCTCGACACTACGATAGTATGAAAAATGGTCTTACATTTTGGGACGGCAATTGGATTCGAAGCTAGAATGGATATATTCTGAAACGACCAATCAGTGAACATGGCAATTAGTTAAGCACGGAGTTATCTCGACAGTTAGGAGCCATCATAATTTTCAAAGCAGTCCCAGATGTTAGGCTAGCGGAGTAGTTGGTTTGTACGTCATTGTCATCGCCCAGATGTGAATCATGGAAGCACGTCACTCCTAGCCACTATGCTTAACTTGAACAGTTGAACGGCTAGCTTCCGTGCGCTAGCTGCTCACCAGCCAGCGTGGCGAGCACAAAACTTGCACAGCTAGCCCAGCTGATGCCGACGATAACACTTGCGCAGCCGAACCGATGCCGCCGGAATGCGATGCTTTCCTTGGACATGTAGATATCCATCGTTCCGAGCTATCTAGGCCGCTCGCCTTTCACTTTGCTAGGACCCGGCATCACAGCACCAATTGTCATTATCTTCGGCTCTCTTCCGCTGCTTTTTCTTCTCTTTTTCTGCTTTTTTTCCGTGCCTGGTGTCGTTATCTTTTATCATTTCTCTGCTTTTAATTCCCATGTGCCTGATGATGATACGCGCGATAACAGGTTCTCTTGAGAATCCGCGGTTATGCGTCGTCATCGTAGTACTCGTTTAGAATTTTCTTCGTAGCTTCGCGAGTGATCGGGTGACTTTGGACAATGAATTCTAAGGATCCGCGGTTGGGCGCCATGTTCATAGCTATCCGGCATGTAGAATTTTCTTGGTAATAGTCATATTGTGTTTTTCATTCCCCTAAGTAGGCACCCCAATTAGGAGTGTACAATGCAAGTACAATACTTGCCAACAAAAGGGCAGTTTTTAGTTTTTGTTTTGCAACCTAGAATAGACAAGGTGGTTACTTGTAACATCTATACTTGAATGCTAGATGCCGGTACTTGATGGGTATTTCTCTTCCCAATATACAACTAGCTCTAAAAAGTTAGGTATAAAGTACATAGAGCGAGCACGATGATTGTGATATATTCGTAATATACTGTCTTTGAGCATCAACTAGTGTAAACTAATCTCGCACTGTGTATATTCTATAACCAGGATAGGAATGTAGTAGTATTAGACTTGGTTAGCTTTTCCCTTGTTCTTTTGCCATCGAAAGAAAACAAAGAAGAAAGGCAAGCTATACACTGTAAAGAGAAAGAGAAAGCACACCTATATCAAAGATCAATAATTGGTTGCACCAGTGCTCAATCCATCCTCCACAAGTTCAAATGATCTGTTGCAAAGCTCCTAGTACTATTTGTATTTAAGAGTAATTAATAGGTAATAGATTATAGGTGGAAAACATAAACATGAGTGCCCTTTTCATCTGAAAATGAAGGTGCATACAAGTCTCTCCAAGATGGTCCACCTATCAGTACATAACTAATTAGACTAATCGATAATTATTGCCCAATAATGCACATTGCCGACATTACATTCGGAGTAGTACATGTCTGTCCAACAACTAAAAGGTAATCAGCGCATTTCAGATCCAAATCGTGCTATAATAATGCTTTGCAAGTACCGACGAAATGACTTCCCATGCACACATAGAGTACATAGCACACTTGCACGTAACACTTCAGTTGTGTGATTGGTCAAAATGCTTTGATTTGTCCCATCATAGTTAACGAATTGTGCTAACGACCATGCTTATTGCTTAGTTAGTGTAAGACAATTGATCGTTCATGCTCGATTAGGTACAAGCTAAGATAATCATTCTGTTGGAGTAACTGACGGACGAGCGTACGTACGTGCAGGGTTGTGACGCGTCGGTTCTGCTGGACCCGACGCCGGAGAACCCCAACACGGAGAAGACGGCGCCGATCAACATCGGCCTGGCTGCCTTCGACCTGCTCGACGACATCAAGTCGGCGGTGGAGGACCGGTGCCCCGGCGTCGTCTCCTGCGCGGACATCCTCATCTTCGCCGCCCGCGACGCCGCCAGCCTGCTGAGCAACGGCCACGTCCACTTCGACGCCCTGGCGGGGCGCCTGGACGGCGTGCACTCCCACGCGGCGGAGGCGCAGCAGGACCTCCCCGACTCCACCTTCACCATCGCCGAGCTCATCCAGAACTTCAAGCGCAAGAACTTCACGATCGAGGAGCTGGTGATCCTGTCCGGCGCGCACGCCGTGGGCGTGGGCCACTGCTCGTCGCTGCGCGCCCGGCTCACGGCGCCCGCCGACCAGATCCTCCCGGCCTACCGGGGCCTCCTCGCCGGGAAGTGCGCCAAGGGCCCGGACCCCATCGTGCCCAACAACATCAGGGACGAGGACGCCGGCGCGGTGGCGGCCGCCGTCCCGGGGTTCCTCCCGAAGCTGAGGAAGGTCAAGGACTTCCTGGACAACAGCTACTACCACAACAACCTGGCGAGGATCGTCACCTTCAACTCCGACTGGCAGCTGCTGACGGAGAAGGAGGCGCGGGGCCACGTGCACGAGTACGCCGACAACGGCACGCTCTGGGACGAGGACTTCTCCGACTCGCTCGTCAAGCTCAGCAAGCTGCCCATGCCGCACGGCAGCAAGGGCGAGATCAGGAAGATGTGCCGCTTCGTCAACCACCACTGATGCTTTCTCCAAATTCCTACCGCTGACGTTCTTCATGTGTAAAATTTGCATCTATCGATCGGGTTTGATTATTCGTTTGTTGTTATGTTTTATTTTCATTTTTTTTCCTTCTTCGATTTGTGGGATTGATTTGTGGACAAATGTGCGCATGCGCCTGCGTGCGAACTGTGTAGATTTTTTTCCCGTCAAGTGTTGTGCCTTTTGGCCGGCTTGGATACCATCCATCAAAGGCATCCAATGCTCATGTAATAATAAGGGTAAAAGGTGATGATCAAGTAAATTGCGTAGTAGTACAATTGTCCCTATAGTTTGCCCTGTTCTTTGACAAAAGGAATGTTGGTCGTTCACATCCGTTGGTCCTTTACCGGGCCTGTGTTGTTCCTGTCATTTTGGGCCATCCATCACTAGTGTCCGCATTCCCGGCTTTGGCTTTCCAAAAAAAAAACATAATTCCACTCATCGATTTACTCCCCAGACGTGAGGGGATTGAGCTTCGGTGCCTTAAAGGCAGGTGCATTTTCTATGCAACACCAAACCTTAAAATTCATGTATTTTCTATGCAACATCACAAAACTTCCTCTCAACATTTTGTGTGTGTTTTGTTTTCTACGACATTCAACAACACCTTGCCGTGGAGATCAAGGCATTGATTGTCGACAGAGAGCTTATTTCTTCGAAACTTCGTCACTTATTAGAAAAATGTTTTCAAAAATGTTCCAGATTTATATGTAAAATATACAATCTTTATGAAGAAAAAGAAAAACAAAGAAAGTTGATAAAGAAACAAAAGAAAACGAAAACTACATGAAAAACTAGTGAAGGCAACACCTAAAAACACACGGGAAAAAAAGAGGACCGGTTTTAGAAGCTTCTAAAAAGAGTTCCCCAAACCCGTATTTGCCCGTCCGTCTTACGATTACCTACTGCAAGAGACGGAGTACCGTCTCGTAGTCGGTAAGATATTGCATGGGAGCTAGTCTCCCCCAACTGGGACGTAATACGTCTCGCCTACGATGTAACACTATTGGGCTGGTCCAATATTGTAGTTGTGTGGGAGGTTTTTTGTGGTTTGTTATCTGTTTTCACTATTTTGCATATGTTTTCAATTAGTTTCTTCGATTTTCTATGGTTTTCTTTCATTTTACTTTTTCTCCCTTTGGTTTCTTCTGTTTCATTCCTCAGTATTAATTATTTTTTAATAATTCCATGTTTTTCAACATATGTCTAAAATTTTCATACACATGGTGTATTTTTGATATACAGCAGGAACAGTTTTCTATACAAGTTTAGAAAATTTAAATACATGATCAACATTATTTTCAATTTTGATGTCTACTTTTTAATACATGTTCTATCTTGTTTGTTCACATCTAGAACTTTTCCTATACGCGTTTAATACTTTTGAAATGCATGTTTTTTTCAATCACCTGTTCTGAACATTTTCTCAAATACGTGTCAAAGAGTTTTATTGAACATGTTCAATCATTTGTATAATGATACCAAATATTTTTTTATTATAATGTGCAAATATTTTTATATATTTTCTAAACGATTTTAAAATGTAATGGACATATTTTTAGAAACAAGCGAATATTTTAAAAATATAAAGTACATTTTTCGATTGGTATGAGATATTTTTTTTGTGTCTGTCAAACAACCACTGGGCCACCCTGCACAACTGTGAGCCAGGCAGGAACGATCCTCTACAGCCGTAGATGCACCCATCAGGTGAATCGGAGCCGTTAATCACCCTCTGGCCAGTGGTCAGAGCTCATCAACCAGACTGAAGTGCTTGCCTCCTTATTGGTAAAGAATGCAGCGGTACGAGCCTATAGAACAGATCCTGTTCAAGTAAGGTCGTGGTATGAGATATTTTTTAATTATGTGATTCTTTACACTGTAAGCATGTTTACCAAAAATGCCACGTACATTTTTTTGATTGCGTCAAAAAATACAGTCTATGCTTCCGTCAAAAGCATAGTCTGTGGTTCCACTAGAAGCACACTATGCTTCTCGCTTTTCGAAAATGGAAAAGCACAGTATGTGGAGTAGGAAGTTTGTGTGCTCGGGCACCATGTTGCCCCTTTTTTTTGGAAAAAAACAAAAACCTTATTTCAAGGTTAAAAAATCGAAAATAATTCTGTGGAAACTTGTATGTATTTACTACGGATCCATGAATTTGTTTTTTTTGGGGAAAATGTAATTTGTAAGCTGTAAAAAAACAAAAATCCTGCCCAAAAAACAAAAAATTATGGTCCATTTGAAACTAGATATTTGTCTTTTTTATGCCATGTGTTAAAGTAAAATGTAATGAATTTTTGCACATGTGTGTGTGTGGGTATGTACAAAAAGTTTCAAAATTTTGTATGCTATAAAAAATGTTTTTTATACGGGCACCATGGTGCCCGTGCACAACTAGCAATATTCTCAACATGTGCTACTGTGAGAAGCACAATCTATGCTTCCCTCGTAAAAAGGCGAAAAATAAACCTTCTGCTACCCAAAAGAATTGAAAACCGCAACTGTGCTTTCGGGCTTTCGGTTTTTCTTTCTTTTGGTATTAGTTATTTGTTGGTTTTATTTTTATGTTTTTTCTTGGTTTTGGGTTTTTTTAATTAAAAAATAGTTCATCAAAACCTATTAGTGCGAAACCTAGTTTCGGAGAGCTCGGTGCGAGAAATCCAACAATGAAAATGGGTAATTGGACATACGGTTCAAAAGATAAAACACTTTAAATAAGCAAATGTATGAAAAAAGAGAAAACTCACAGGCCATGACAAGTTACGAACATGCAGTGTGGCACTTGTTCAAAGGTAAAAGATTTGGGTCATGAGGGGTGCCCAACAAAACATGTCTACCTATGCCGAGAAATCTCAGGAAAAAAAGCAACAATATTTATTCTTCGTCAAGTGTAGTGCGTTCAAGCCGCTCTAGCTAACGACAAATTTTGTCTCAAAAATAAAAACCTAATAGCAAATTGTTTCTAAAAAAGATAACAACAAATATTTTTACCCATCCACTACATTACGTTGCATCATATGCTGGTTCTTTTGCTTCTTGCCTAACCTTTTTTTCTGTTTCTTGTTCAATTGAATTCTAGAAAATCTTCATGAAGTGCAAAAATATTCATGGACAGAAAAAAATCATTATTTTTTCAAACAAATGCTTGAAAATTTAAAAAATGTTAGAATTCAAAAAAGCTTAAGAATTTTTCAAGTTTGCCCATTCAAAAATATTCTCAAACTTAAAAAAAATAATGAACTAAAAATGTTAGCCTATTTTTCTAATCATTGTCATTTTTCATGTATATTAAAAATGTTCACAAATTTATATTATCATGATTTAATAAAATGTTTACAAAATATGGAACACACATTCGTTAATTCATAAAAATGGTCATGGATTTAAAAAATATTCTTGAATTCAAAAAAAATCATGATTTTCATAAACGTTCATGGGTTTCAAAAAAATTCATGGATTGTTGTTGAATTTTAAAAATGTTCTTGAATTTAAAAACACATATTTAAAAACTTCCATGAAAACTGCACCCCTAGGACCCTTATTGGGTTGGCCCATCTGCCGCCCGAGGGGAGGCCTAGTTAACTTTGTTATGCACGTGATGTAGGGAGCCCGTAATTGGTGCTTCAAGTGCCAGTTCCATAAGCTGGCACCCACGGACCATCGCCCGTGGCCCGGCCCATATAGGCGAGTGCTCTATCATTTCATCAATTGCATTTATGGGTCGCTACCCCTAAGCTTTCCAAATCTAAGTTCCTATCGCTGACGTTTTCCATGGGCTGAATTGCATTGGATCGCATCGATCAGTCGCGTTCGTTTGTTGTTATGTTATATTTTTCTTCCAGATGTTTTTGGTATTCGTTTTTTTGTTGGTTTTATTTTTTATTTTTTATGAAAAAGCAGTTCATCGAAACCTATTAGCGTGTAACCTAGTTTCGAAGAGCTGGATGAGAGAAATCCAACAATGAAGAAGAATCAGTAATTGAACACACGGTTCAAAAGATAAAACGTTTTAAATAAGTGAATGCATGAAAAAAGAGAAAACTCACATGCTATGGCAAGTTACGAACATGCAATGTGGCACTTGTTCATAGGAACAAGATTTGGGTCATGAGGGGTGACCACAAAACATGTCTACCTATGCACGAAATTTCAGGAAACAAATCAACAATATTTATAATTCGTCAAGTGTAATGCATTCGACCCGCTCTAGCTAATGGCAAATTTTGTCTCAAACATAAATCCTAACAGCAAATTGTTCCTAAAAGAGATAACAACAAATATTTTTACCCATCCACTACATTAGGATCGAGGAGTAGATCCAACGGTGGGAAGAGGGGATCGCCACTAGCGGCCGGGGTTCTAGGGTTCTGTTCTTTCTTGCCTCTCTCTCACTACATGCTCACGTACTTAAGCACTCACTGCGCCTGTGACAGCCCAGAGTAGCGGGTGTTGTCCTTCACTTCCTGCCTGGGTCGGCTGGGCTTCTGCTTGGCCTTCTGGGTTTCATGGTTCATGCCCGTACTCGTGACAAGTGCCCAAACGACTCCTTGTTATTTTCCCCTCTCGTTAGGGTTTCGCCTCCTCTCGGCGGTGACACCCGACGTCCCACCATAGAGATCTCTCTACCCCGCTACCTTCCCCTCGCCGGCGTTCGTGGGGCTCGCACCTCCCGAGCGGCGGGGTGTTTGGATCTAATGGGGACTATACTGCCCGCGGATCAGACTTTCTCGGGAAAGAGAACCATGGATGATGGGGCTTCAGGGTCTGGCACGACAGTGTCCGATCTGGAGGCGCTAATGATGGAATTGGGATTGAAGGAGGATGATCTCCAGGACGTGATCGTTGATGACGAGGAGCTCCAGGAAGAGGCGACCCGGTGGATGGCCATCGCACGGGTGCATATGGAGAAACCCTAGAGCCAATATTGATTCTATAAGAACATGAGGATTGCTTGGGACGTAGCTAAAGGTGAAAATCAG